ATAATTAAATAGTTTAAAATATATAATTAAATATACATTTATCGATTAAGATAATTAGTTAATGAAATATTTAAATGAGAAATCAAATTAAACATTAATTTTTTTATTTAAACAAGTGATTAAATAGATTAATTAAATATTAAATAAATAATATACATAACCGATTAAGATAATTAATTAATGAAATATTTAAACAAGAAAGTAAATGAAATATTACTTCTTTCATTTAAGTAAGTGTTTGAAATAAATAATTAAATATAAAGTGAAAAATGTTTGGTTTTTTAATTTGTAATTTAAGGGTATTTTTGTCTTTTTATATAAAATTCTATCTTTGTAATTGTATAAACTATTTAAGAATATTTTTGCCTTTTACTCAACAAATGACCATTTTGAAGATTGGCAAATTTTTTTTATCAACGTGAAAAAATGACATTTTGACTTGCCTAATTTGAAAAGTATCCCCATATCCTCACACAACCTGCGAAGCTGTCGTGTCATCTCCTCCAACATGTTGATTTAATTTTGCTTCCTGTGTGAATTTGACTCTTCTTTTTTCAACAATTTTTTTACTACTTTTTGTTTTTCTTTTACTCTTTTTTTTTTACTATTTTTTTACTCTCTTTTTACTATATATGTAAATAAAATACATATACAACAAGTCAGAAAAAAATATTATAGATTTATTTGCTTTTGTGATCTTATATATTCCAATAATTCAGTCTTTTGCCTATAGTTAAAAAAAACAAAAACTAATAGTTAGATTGGGTGGTCTAGGGTCTACTTGATAGGATCTAATTATTGGAGTTTGGATAATATATGTTTGCTTAGGTCTCTGTGTTAGCTATATAAAGTATTGAATCTATAATATGGTAACTATAATAGTTTTGAGTTTAATTGTAATTATAATAAAGTTTGATTTAAGCTTCAAGTACAGGAAAATCTCATCAGATTTCATACAGGGTGCTTTCGTGCAAGCATCCTATTTTCATGCTTTTTCCCTTTTTTTTCCTCCAATGAAATTTAGCTATTCTATAACTTTTCTATGAGATTTTCTTGTACTTGTAACACAGTTCATAAACTTTTCTACTCAATTGTAACTATTATGAAAAGTTGTAAACTTAGTTATAATTGTAATTGAAGTTCAACTAAATTTAAACTAATTGAATTAGAACTTTAATTAAAACTCCTACTTGAATTTTAATTAAAACTTATATTTGAATGTGAAATTATTATTGTACAGGATTGTCACTATTTTATCTTTATATATAAAGATTAGACAAAACATAGAATTTCTACAACAATCATAATACGTAATTTCATAGTGTTCAAATTTGAAGAGAGAAAATTATTATTTTCTTGCTTTATTCAATTGTCTAGACTAATAATTAGCTTCTTGATTTAATTAAAAGAATGTGCCCATACATCTATGTAGTCTTGACTTTGAAAAATGTCATAGAAGATTTAGGTGAGTTGTTGGAATTAAAAGGTTGGAAACTCGTGATTCAAAAGATTTAAAGTTCGTGATTCAGAATTAATTAAAGAAATTGATCATTGAATTTAGGTAAATGTTCGAATCTTTTATTTTTAATATAACATACACATGAATTTCTAGACAATCTTGTTTATTGCTTTAAAGAATTATTTTAATTTTTGAATAATTTCGCTTCTTCATTCCAACAGCAAGTTGGTCAAACCAACTTAATACATAACTAATTTTCAACAATCCTACTCATAAATGACAATAAATACAACAAATAATGATGACACTAACAGAGAGATCAAGTGAAAATCATGACAAAGGTGATCTCTCATAAGGAATATTCATCTTTACTCCACTTGATTTTTCAATATATAGGAATCATTAAAAGTTGAACCCTATATAAAGCACTTTTCTATCATAGGTAAGTGTAGCAGACTATGAGCACACGGTTTATTTTCCAACAACCTTTACATTTCTAATTCAGTACGAGACCATAGGAGCACATGGTTTAATATATTCAAATTTTTTGCTTTGGTTGAATATTCTTCTCCTTCGCTGTCAAGATTATTTTTATTCGAGTACATAAATCTCTTTCATTTAATAAATATATGGATTTCTAGTTGGAAACTTGGACCATGGAGACAGAGCATGAGGGAATAAATCGAAGTGAAAACAATTGAGGAGAAATATTCAAATAGGTGGACTCAAAAAGGTCTCTTAGAAATTAATAGAAATATGAGGATAGAAAAAGAAATTTGAGTCCACCTATGTTCGAGCCAGCTTACAAGCACCTTGATTAATCTCACAAGATCCTAAAATTTACAATTGGGTACTTGCTTCAGTGGTATTGAGGGCACTCGAACTGGTGAGCATTTGAGAACAAATTTAAGGCCTGACCACTAAACTACTCCTCAAAGTTATATTATAGCTAATATTTCAACTTCAATGCAAACAAGAAAATTAAAGAGTAAAAGTAGCAATTGATCGAGTTAACAATAAAATTAAAGAGTAAAAGTAGCAATTGATCGAGTTAACAATAAAATTAAAGAGTAAAAGTAGCAATTGATCGAGTTAACAATAAAATTAAAGAGTAAAAGTAGCAATTGATCGAGTTAACAATAAAATTAAAGAGTAAAAGTAGCAATTGATCGAGTTAACAATAAAATTAAAGAGTAAAAGTAGCAATTGATCGAGTTAACAATAAAATTAAAGAGTAAAAGTAGCAATTGATCGAGTTAACAATCTCTCATATAAAATATGGACTTTAGAAGTATATAATAGAGGAGATGAATTTTTTTTCAAGAACCGACAAAATTGAATTATTTCCTTCTTTCAAAGAGATAACAGGGTTATTCTCAGTTAAATTTTTTATCTATTTTCGAAAACTTGTGATCAAAATGCAATAAATTGAATAACTATCATTGATAAAATCAATACGACAAGAACACAATTTTCTATTAAAATCATTAGTCAAAATAGAAGAATAACAAGTATATATTCAACATCTACTTGAATTTTTATTTTTATTTTTTAAATAAAGGGGCTTTTAGAAATAAAAATTGACAAATGTCAAATGGATGACCATTCAATACAAATCAAATCAATTCCATTTCGCCCACAAGAACGGAATATGCTTTATACGTAGATGAGTTAAATTTATTTTATTTATTTTTTTAAAAAAATTGATTTGGTATAAATAAATTTTGGATTTGAGAGGAAATGATTAAAGGATATAATAATAATAATAATAATAATAATAATAATAATAATAATAATAATAATATGTGGACGTATTTATTTACTCAATATTTTAATTGAAAAATATTTAAAGCTTCACTATTTACAAAATTAAAATCCATTTTTATATCGTTAGAGAGTCTCATATCTAACTTATAGTGTGAAGGAGGTCAATAATTACGGTAGCTAACGATCCAATATTTCATTAACATGTGGATGAAAATTGCCACCAAATTGACGCTTGCAAATTTTTCAAGAAATTATCCTTCGGTTGGCCAATAAATCTTGATAGGTTCTACAAAAAGTTCTATACTTTAAATCGAAATCCTTAGAATGCATTGCATTTTTCACGAGTCAATTTTATAACTAACAACAAAATTACAATATCACAATTCACTTCGTCAATTCACTTCGTACCTCTACGATGGTAGAATTTAACATAATAATCTAAAATATTGAGAATATATCTCAAAATGTGACAATTTTTTAGCAATGAATTTTGATTAACCACTGTACTATTTAAAATTTTCTAAATTTTGAATATATTTGATATGTTGTTATTATACAATTCGTATTAACAAAACAGTCAATATCTAAAGACCAATAGATATGTAAAGGCTTATTATTATTATTATTATTATTATTATTATTATTATTATTATTATTATTATTTATTTTTTCAAGTGCAAAAATGTTAACTTGTTAACAACTTATTTAAAATATTTAACTACTAAAATCATTTGTATTTAGATCAAATGTGTGACACACACAATTACCAAATTAATCACCCTATCAAATATGGTTAGACACCTGACATGTATTCATTTATATATCTTACCAATGCCAATCATTTAAAAATTTTAATCACTCAAGATTTTACAAATATTTAAATTGCCATAAAGAATTATCAAGTTATATAAAGAATAATTATATTCAAATTACCTTACACCACATTTTCAAATAATCACATTTTAACTGCAATCAAGATCTTTAGCCTCATTTGATAGCAATTTTTTACCCCCCAAAAATCATTTTTTTGTTTCTTATTTCACTATTTCACTCGTCATTTTTTATTTTTTCACTCACAGATATAATCCGTTTTTCTCTCTAATAAATAAAAAATCAATTCTCATAATTATTACCAAACAGTCCCTTAAATTTTGCTCGTTTTTGTAGTTACTTTTTTTTATTACATTTTGTAAATATTTTTGTCAGACTTTTGTAATTGATTTCATTGCGAATTTGTTTAAGGAAACTGTCAAAAATTAGGATATTAAATTAACAAAATGTTGAAAATAAAAATATGACCAAAAAAATTGAATATCTGTAAAAGTAAGCAAAAGTTAATATCATTCATTGCAGTTAAAATGTGACACAGTTAACAAAAAATAATAATAATATGGATATAATTATCCATTATTTAATTGAGAAAACTATGAAAATCTAACCATATTGTTGAGCAACTTCATAATTCATTTCTAACTATCAGTCTTCTTGTGTAATCAAATCAAGAATTTTCAAAATTAAACATTTAATAAATTTAGATTAAAAAAATAATGAAATATATAGTCGAAAAATTGTGAATCTTGATTAAAATTAGTTGTTAAATTTGATTTAAATTAAAATTTAATTTCTACGAAATAGGGGCATAGTAGAAACTAGATCTATCGATGCAAAATAAACTTAAATTAATATATCAAAGGCAAGAAAAATCTAACTAAATATTACTAATAATCTTTCACATCAAAATTTGTTCAAAAACATGTTTATTTGTCACCCAAAAAAAAAAAAAGGACATTAATAAATATGTACCCAAATTCAGATAGGGAAAATAGCATCAGAGGTCCCAATGTTTGACTTATTTTCACTTTGGTCCCCAAATGTTACCTATCCAACAAAAAAAAAAACTAACAAGATGTCATCTATCGAAACTTCCTGTACAAACAAAGGGCAAAAATGGAGCCGGTTCGTAACAAAACGGCGCCGCTGGATGCTGCCACTTTTTCATCACCACCACCGGCTTCTCCGCCGCTACGGGCTCCTTATTATTGCTATTAGAACCAGTCTTGATCTCAGCCGGAAAACTGTTGGATGTCGGAGATTCAACCAACGGTGATAAAAGCGGGATCGCCACGTTCCAATCTGTCACCGGATTTATCTCAATAGACGCTGGAGCCCTTTTCTGCAACCGTGTAAGCTGCTTCTGGCGCTGCGTGCGGATATCCGAATTCTTATTCGAATTCTCGGCCATATATGGCGATTTTAGTGTGGGTTTTTTATTTTGTGAGAAGCAAAAAGTATAAATGATTTGGTGTGAAAAGGGAGACCTGGAGATTTAGGGTTAAAAGAGAGTGGGTATAAATAAGGGGCGTGTGGATTGCACGTTGCGTAGCTAATCACAAATCGAGATTCAGTCAAAGGTTGTTCAGAAGGGGCGGGGGAGAGGGGGGGTGTTCCGTTTCTGTTTCTCGGCTCAGCTTGATTCGGCTGGCTATGGATAGGATTGTGATTTTTTAAATACTAGTCTTGTGCCATGCAATGCATGACTTGAATTTTATAAGAGGAGATATTAGCATATTAAATAAGGAAACAAAGGGAGACTGCAAACAATAAAAAATTAATTCGATTAATTAAACTATTTAATTATATCAATTAGATATTCAACAATAAAAAAAATGATTCGATTAATTAAACGACTTACTTATATTGAATATAGTATTATCAAATACGTCATTTATAAGTAAAATAATCACTTAGACTAAAATAATAATGTTTGAAAAAATACATTTGAATTATAGCAACAAGAAATTGAGCCAACAAATTTTTCATCTTAATTATTTTAACATCTAAAAAAAATTTATATATAAAAAAAATTCGATAATTTTTAGGAATTTTTTTTCTTATTGTTACTTTTTCTTCTTGATAAATTAATTTTTAAAATAATCTAATACAATTTTTTGTATAAAAGAATGATTATTAAAAAATTTTACGTTAAAACCAAAAAAAAAAAAAACGCGTTTGATGTACATTTAACTATTTTCGATATTCATTTAAATAATTCGATATGTCTATAATATATTTTTCGAAATGAGTTTGATAGAATATAGAAAATATATTTTTTATAGATGTTGCGTAAAATATTTTTTTTTTTTTTTGTTTTTGGCATAAAAATTCCTAATAAAATTATTATCGCCCTACTTTTCTTAATTCCTTTACGTAAAATGTATAAAAAAATATATTTTCTATATTACATCGAAACTCATTTCGAGCACTATATCATAGACATGTCAAATGATTTAAATGAATATCGAAAATAGTTAAACAAACATCAAACGCGTAAATGAAGAGGAAGGGAAAATAGCGAATTTTGACCTCGAAAACGATGTCCACCCAGCCTAGCGAGGTGGCCACGACGTGCGCGTCGAAAAGAGCTTTCCGAATTGGGGTCATGGGCACGATTCTGACAACCGTAGCCAAAGTTATGGTCGAATTATCAAAACAATCCGTAAAAAAAAAAAAGAAAAAAAAAATTTAGTGAAGCACTCCGCGCTGCGCGAAGTGTCTAATTTTACTCTTCTTCTTCTGTGTTTTTTTTTTTACTGACTTATTTTTTTTTAATTTGGCTATAAGTTTTGCTACAGTTATCGGAATTGAGCCCATGACCCCAATTCAGAAAACTCTTTTCGACACGCACGACATGGCCACCTAGCTTCGCTTGGTGGACATTGTTTTCGAGGTCAAATTTCGTCGTTTACCCTTCCAAATCCCCAATTATAGTTTGACATCAAATTTAAAAAATGCGTATAACTCGTCATTTTTTTAACGCAACATCTATAAAAATATATATTGTCTATATTTTATCGAACTCGTTTCGAGAACTATATTATGGACTCATCGAATTGATCTAAATGAATATCGAAAATAGTTAAAGTTACATCAAACGCGTTTCTTAAAAAGTTTACAAAAAAAATATATTAATAGTATAATTAAAAAAATTAAAATTAAAATTAAAAAAAAAAAACTTGTCTGTGCAAAGTCAACAACTGTGGGCGCAAGTGACCATTAAGCCTCAATGTGTTAATTAGTGTAAAGTGGGATTTTCAAGGGTAAAGTGAGAAAACAATGTAAAGGAGGAAAAAAAAAAAAAAGGACAAACTACTGTAGCAAAATCGGATAAATTGGATTCAAGTTTGAAAACGGCTGTAACATAAATGAACAGTACCAAAAGCCTCTCTTTTAAGAGAGTAAAGATATAGCTTTTTTTTTTTTTTTTTAGCTTCAATTTTCACAAAATTTGAATTTTATAATTAGTGATTTTTTTTTTAGAGAATTTATAGTTATAAAGTATGAAAAAATTTCAATTTACGTGTAAATTATTTCATTGAGAAAATATAATAAATAATGAGTTTATAAAAAAATAAATTTTTATATAATAGACTCAAACAGAGGCATAAGAGTATCTTTAAGAGACTATATAAGTCCCTGTTTATTTTTCATTAAAATAAAAAATATGATCGTTATCCATCACATCAAATCACCAAAATTTCTATTTCTTGTATGGGGACAATAATGATTATATTTTTTATTCTCATTTTTACATAAATTGAAAAAAATGGAGCCTAAATATAAAATGCACTCTATTTTTAAAAAATAATCTTACAATTATATTTTAAGTAACTCTTTAAATTAATATTTTAAAATAGAGCATGGTTAACTCTTTAAATTGCATTTAAAATATTTTAATTTTCAATATAGGAAATAATATAAAAATTGAAAGGAAAACTAATGAGAATAAAATATATTAAACAGTAATATATATTATTTGAGAGTAATAAATTTAAGTGCTAAATATAAAGAATATGTTGAGGTACTTAAAATTCTTTACTCTCAAAATTTGAAGATATTTTTTAAATTACAAAATATGTTTATGAAAATAGAAATTTTATTGAAGATATTCTAATGATTGTTCCAACATAGGAATGGAGAAACTGCTCACATTGAGCCGAGCCGAGTAATCCAGCTAAGCAACAATTACTTTACAGCCGGATCACTCAAATTTTCTTCAATTGCCCATTGAACGGATCCCTATATACAGCTAAGTTTCCGTTACTCAATGACACAGATCTGAAACGGACGTTAATTTTCCGTTATTCAAGTAGTCAGAGATCAATTAATTTTTTGGTTATCAGATCTGCGGTTGAGGTTTGACTACGTGGCGACTTCGGATCCTTTAATAAGCAAAGGTGTATATTGAATGCATCTTGGTTGAGATTTGATCATTTGATGCTTATCAATAGTAATATGTTGTTTGTTTTCATTTCGGTGTTCGAAAAATCTCGAGATGTCAATTTAATCGAAAAAATAAAAAATAAATCTGAAATTCAATCAAATATATAAAAGTTTAAATTAAATTTAATCGATCTCAAAAACGATCATTTTGAACTCAAAACTATCTTGTTTACCCTCAAAATATATCGATTCATTCTCAACTTGGAAAATCGATCTTTTATCTAATATTTAACTTCTTAAATCAAATTTTAAAATCCTACCCTAAAATAACACCACCAAACTCCATAAATGTTTACAAATTTAGAGGATGTCTGGTAGGAATTAAAATTAGATTTATGTAGTAGATTATTATAAAAGTTTTTGAAATGTGTGGTCGAAAAGTTGTGAGACCCATGAAAAATGTGGTTAATATCGATTGTTTGACTTTGACTTAGATTAAAATCAAATTTTAATTCCTTCCAAGCAGACTCTTACTCTTTTCAAATTATTATATTCCGTATAAAACTTAACACATTTTCATAACATTCCTCACCAGCTACTCGAGGTCGAAGCAATCAACACAAGATTTCTTTTACCCCTCTATTATCCTTTATTATGCTCCAAGTTTTTTAAGAAAAGAACTGAAAATAGATGTGGCCTTTAAGAAAGAACCATTCCATTAGGGAGTAAAATGCATAAATCTAAACGTTTAGAGGTTAAAAGTGAAATTTTTGAAATGTTCAATGACTAGAGGTGCAATTAGCAGTCAAGGTTATTGTTTTCATTTTCAGATCATTCGATATGGACAGTCAAATATGATAAAGAGTAAAGTATGAGCAGAAGCAATTTTGACAAAGAATATGTGATGAGATTAGTGCACACTTAAAACAAGAGGGGCATAACTCCGTTATTCAAGTAGTCAGAGATCAATTAATTTTTTGGTTATCAGATCTGCGGTTGAGGTTTGACTACGTGGCGACTTCGGATCCTCTAATAAACAAAGGTGTATATTGAATGCATCTTGGTTGAGATTTGATCAATTGATGCTTATCAATAGTAATATGTTGTTTTTTTTCATTTCGGTGTTCGAAAAATCTCGAGATGTCAATTTAATCGAAAAAATAAAAAATAAATCTGAAATTCAATCAAATATATAAAAGTTTAAATTAAATTTAATCGATCTCAAAAACGATCATTTTGAACTCAAAACTATCTTGTTTACCCTCAAAATATATCGATTCATTCTCAACTTGGAAAATCGATCTTTTATCTAATATTTAACTTCTTAAATCAAATTTTAAAATCCTACCCTAAAATAACACCACCAAACTCCATAAATGTTTACAAATTTAGAGGATGTCTGGTAGGAATTAAAATTAGATTTATGTAGTAGATTATTATAAAAGTTTTTGAAATGTGTGGTCGAAAAGTTGTGAGACCCATGAAAAATGTGGTTAATATCGATTGTTTGACTTTGACTTAGATTAAAATCAAATTTTAATTCCTTCCAAGCAGACTCTTACTCTTTTCAAATTATTATATTCCGTATAAAACTTAACACATTTTCATAACATTCCTCACCAGCTACTCGAGGTCGAAGCAATCAACACAAGATTTCTTTTACCCCTCTATTATCCTTTATTATGCTCCAAGTTTTTCAAGAAAAGAATTGAAAATAGGTGTGGCCTTAAAGAAAGAACCATTCCACTAGGGAGTAGAATGAATAAGTCTAAATGTTCAGAGGTTAAAAGTGAAATTTTTGAATTTTTTCAATGACTAGAGGTGCAATTGGCAGTCAGGTTATTGTTGTCATTTTCAGATCATTCGATATGGACAGTCAAATATGCTAAAGAGTAAAGTATGTCCAGAAGCAATTTTGACAAAGAATATGTGATAAGATTAGTGCACACTTAAAACAAGAGGGCATAAATGAAAGAAATATTCAATTAGCATACTTTTTTGTTCTACAATTTGGACTTTATAAAAGTAGCCTAGTAATTTCCAACCTTGCAATATGTGACCTCGTGTGGCTGTTGTCGTTGTCACTTTTTGAAAGAGATATAATCGAGATAGTGAT